GCCAGGAACAGCAGCTCGGGCTGGCGGGGCTCACCTCCCAGGCTGGGCAGGGCTGGGCTGCATTTAGCGCCCAAACTGGGCTCAGCTCCCTGGTTTAACTCAGCTAGGCTCAGCATCCAGGCTGGGATCAGCCACTGGTCTGAGATTAGACCTGAAAATGGGATCAGAAACGTTGTGCCTGGGATTAACCCACATTTTGAGATTAGCCCCTAGGCTGGGCTCATTTCCAGGCAGGGTTTACTCCAGGATGGGCTCATCTCCAAACTAAGCTCGCCCTCGGGATGGGCTGATCCTCAAACTGAGCTCAGCCTCAGGATGGGATGGGATGATCCCCAGGCTGAGCTCATCCCCAGACAGGGCTCAGCCCCAAGGGCTGCAGAACGCACAGAGCTGCTGGCTGGGCTCCCCCAGGCTGCTGGCATGTGGCTCCTGGACACTTTGGGAAGTGGCACTGCTGCCAGCTTGGCCACCTCCTCACCTCCCCACATGCCGCTGTGGGAAGCTCATTGTCCCTCTGGTACGCACACCCTGGCAGGCAGACCCTGCACTGTGGAATGGAGACAGCCCAGGTGGACAAATCAGCTCCAGCAGGTCCAGGGGCTGCTCCCTGCCATGGGCACCCATCCATACCCTTGGCTGTGTGGCAGCAGTTGGGATGTGCCAGGGGGTTGTGTTCCCCACAGCTGGGAGAGCTGCATTGTTTCATTCTGAGGCAGACTCTTAAACTCCTAAACTCAAAACCACCATCACTATCCTCACCATGCGCAGTCTGGCTGTGCCACTGGCACTGGAGGAGGTGTTTGGCCCCTCAGGCCAGCCTTCACTGCTGAGGCCGAGGACAGACGGGTGTCCCCAGAACATGGGCCATGGATTTACCCTGGCCTGGCACCAATTTTCACTTTGGGGATGGTCCCAGTGAGTGTGGGCCTACTCCAAAAACAGTCACCACCTTGGCACAAGGAGTGTAGGGAGGGAGCCAGAGAGAAAAGGCAGATCCCACCTGACAGGGTCCAAAAGGGCAGCAGCACCCTGTGCTTGGCCAAGACGGACTGGGAACAAGCTGGGGCTCGGGAGGTGCCATGGAGTGTGCCACACTGATGGGGACATCCCTGAACTGAGGGCTCCTGGGACCCCGGGGTCCTGGGCAGTGGGCAGGCGGCTGCTCCCAGGCAGCCCATGGGCAGGTGAGGAGGAGGAGGAGGGGGAGCCCTGTGCTTTGCTGGGTCTCTCTGCCCAGTGTCTCACTGCAGGTGTGCCAGCATCCCTCTCCCTAGACAGCCCCTCTGGGGTGGGATTTACACTACTCACCTCTGGGATTTCCCACCTCTGGGTGTGGCTGCAGGACTTGCCATGAGGGAAGAAGGTCCATGGGCTGGCAACATTTACTGAGAAACCTTTGGTAGGGCAAAGGTGGACAAGGGGTGGATTTGGGTGAGTACCAGGCTGCTGCCAAGCACTTTTGGAAGGCTGTCCCTGTCTGAGGCAAGGGCTCAATGTACCCTAAGGGTGCAGCTCTTCCCACAGTGAGCAGAGCATGACACTGCACAGCTGGGTTCAGGCAGCATTCCCAGCACAGAGGGGCTTACAGGGACCACCACCCTCTTTGAGATCAACCATCTGCATCTCATCCTGTGGAAAAACACCAGCTCTTCACACACAACTTCTCCAAAAGGCTCCCCAAAACAGCCTCAGAGAGAAGCCACACTGGCTGCTAGCTACGACCAGCTAGAGGGAAACCCAGGGAGCAGGGTAAGACCTGCTGCTGCCAGAATAAGAACAAGCCCCAGGAAGCCTTGGGCACTTATTCCCCATGTTCCCAGCCTGACACATCCCAGATGTGTTAACATGACCCCAGCGTGTTGGTGACACGTGGGGTCACCATGGTGTGATGGGGGCTCAGCCCATCCACAGCTCCTCACCACAGCAGCAGGGGGTGCAGGGAGTGATCTACAGCATCACAGGTTTGTGTCACATGCACAAAAAGGTAAAAACAGGCAATAATGTACAAATGTGGCGGTTTTTTTTGCTCTTGCTGGGACCAAGGGAGTTGCTGTCTGTTGTTTCAGTGGCCAAGTGGAGGAGTCAAAGCTGGGGCAGATGACAGGAGTGATCTGACCCTGCCACACCTGGGTTTGCCCTTTCCCTGACGGACAGGACGTGGGCAGGTGAGTGGTGGCACAACTGTAATTTCACCCTGCAGAAAAAAAATACCTTGGAGTGAAAAATGCTGATGGGCAATTTGTGGGGGTGAAGCTGGAGCAGAAAGCTGTATGCTTCATTCCTCTCATTCCTCTCCAGCTTCCTTGGGACAGTGGCTGTGCTCCCCAGGGCCCTCCCAGTGCCCAGGGGGTGATGGAGAGGGCTGAGGATCCTGTCCTGCCACCTTGCTGCCTCCACCAGCTGGGCAGGGCTGAGCATCTTCCCCTCCTTTCCCATTGTGGGGAAGGAGGAATAGGACTGAGGTCTGAGTCCTGCTGGGGTCTGTGAAATGTAATCTGGATCAATGTGGGCTGCACCTTCAGAAACACTTGGGTGAGGGACCCTCGCAGGCACCGCCGTGTCCCCGGTCCCATCCTGCCGAATCCCGGTGTCCTGCCGCACGCACCGCTA